CAATGTATGTATGGATGACATTTTATTTACCCACTCATCCATCGACAGCCGTTTGGATTGCTCCCGCTTCTTGGCTATTGTGAATAGTGCTATGACCATGGCTATGCAAACATTTCTAGACCCTGCTTTCTAAAGCGTGGGATCCAGTGAAATTTCCAGATCAATCCAGTGGTTCCACTTTTTCATTTTTTGAGGACATTTCCCTCTGTTTTCTGTTGTGTTTGCACCATTTAACAACCACCAACAGTGCCCAATGGCTATGATGTCTCTACACCCTTGCTAACCCTTGTTATTTTCTGTGTTTTCGATAGTAGCCATCCAAATGCGTGTGAGGTGTGATTTCACTGTAGATTGGCTTACCCATTTTTATTTTTTTAATTAATTTATTTATTTATGATAGACACAGCGACGAGAGGAGAGAGAGAGAGAGAGAGAGAGAGAGCAGGCTCCATGCCGGGAGCCCGATGCGGGACTCGATCCCCGGACTCCAGGATCACGCCCTGGGCCAAGGGCAGGCGCCAAACTGCTGAGCCACCCAGGGATCCCCAGCTTACTCATTTTTAAAAGTAAAAAGCCCTTTGGTCTTTTTCAGCTCCAAAGAACAATCTCATTTTAGCAAATGTGGTAAGCAGAATAACATCCGCTACTCCCACCAAAATGCCCTAATCCCTGGAAACTGTGAATGTGTTTTGCTACATTTCAAAGGGGAATTACGGTTTTTCTAGTCAGCTTCTCCCATGCATCCAGGTGGCCTGTGACGCCTGCAGGGTTACTAGAGGTAGAAGCTGGGAGGAGATAAAAGGGGCAGGAGAGACCATCCTTACCAAAGACCATCCAATCCAAGAATAGGATGATGTTTGCATCTTCTTGATGGGGAAGTTTCCCAGTGATGATTATTTCTCTTCAATAGTACTTTGTGGAATCCTCAAAGTTACCCCTTCTTGGCCCTTGGGCAATTTTTGTCTCTGAGCAGGTGCTCTTCATCCCATCTTTAGTCTCTGTACCCAGTGGTATCTTCCAGTCTCTTTTTGCTGATGGTCCCTTTCCTTTGGCAAGAAACTTTCAAAGACAGGTCTTTTCCAACAACCCCAAGGTCAGGTCTTTGGCTTCCTCTTGGCTCATAAGAACATTCTGGTATCCTTTTCTCTCCTCCATCAGGGGTAAATGTGCAGTCTTCTCCCCATTGCTTATGTATCTTTGCTTGGCTATCAGCAAAGTTCCAGCCATAGCCTTTGACCTTCTCAGAGAAAAAAATACGCTTAGAATTCATTAGTGTGGCTGATTTTACAGTCTTGAACTTCTAAACAGCAACATGGATTCTTTCAACATTTTCTTACGGTTTGTGTTATGAACCACTTTTCTGTTCTTGCTTTTAAGGATGTTTCCCAAGTCCATTCTCAGTTAGTCAATATATGTTTATATAGCATATCTAGGTATAAGGCAGAAATAGTTTCATGCAGTAATAATATGGCTATGGTTATGGTAAAATATAATGTTCATCAGAACTCAGGAATCTTGAGATAATTCACATTTTTCCTTAAGTTACTTATTTTCAGAGCTCTTTGCAAAGTGTCTGTTCCCTGAACATTTCCTCCAGACCTCTACCCTTTCTGACTTCAAATTCAATATCATTGCACCATGTCTACAGACGAAAGAAACACTTTACAAGAACTCTCAACATATTGCAAGTGACTCTAGCCACCACTTCCTGTCTCCCTTCCACATCTTGCCCAAGCTGAAGGTTCTCTAAGGGGTGCAAAGGACTTAGACATCATGAGAAATATTATTGCTCATGTCATTTATGATATCAACAATTCTAAATACCAGTTTAAACAGCTTTCCAATCCAAGACCAGGATATCAAGATGAAAATGACATTATAAATTTTTAATAATTTGCTCTTTGTAGATCATCTCTTAAGGAAAACACAAGAAGCTAATAACAGTTGTTGACTCTTAGACAAGAACTGGAGACCTAGAAAAAGAGGGAGGAGGACTTGCTTTTCACTAAGTATCACTTTTAATTAGAAAATTATTTTAATTTTAAAAATAATACTTTGCATTTAAAGATATAAAACTACCATTCTAACAATTAATAAGTAAAAGTTACCTTTTTACATAAGAAAGTAATTTTAAAAGCTTTAAGATTAATATGATTTTATTTATATGTGGAACCTAAAAAATAAAACAAATCAGCAAACCAACAAACAAAACAAATAGAATCTTAAATACAGAGAATAAACAGGGGCTTGCCAGAGGGGAGGTTGGTAGGGGGATGGGTGAAATAGGTGAAGGGGATTGAAAGATACAAACTTCCAGTTATAAAATAAATAAGACACAGAGATGAAAAGTACAGCATAGGGAATATAGCCAATAACATTTTATTTATTTATTTATTTATTTATTTATTTATTTATTTATTTATTTTTGCCAATAACATTTTAATATTGTTGTATGGGAACAGATGGTAACTATACTTATGGTGAGCATTGAGTAATGCATAGAATTGTCAAATCAATATATTGTACACCTAAAGATAAACAACATTATATGTTAACTATACTTCAATAAAAAAATTAACATCCCCTCCAAAAAAGGGGAAGAAAAGGAAAAGCTCTAAGAATAAATTGAATTGTGTATTTTAGATCTAGGACTTATAATTGAGTTAACTTTGGTAGCTTTTTTGAGTTTTTATTCTACTCTTGGATTTCAGATTGTTTCATATTTCAACAAAAACAAAGAGACAGCTTGGGTTTGGGGGGGGGAGTTTGTAAAAAGGGCACGTCTTACTGACCAGTGAGTCCATTACATCATTTATGGAGTGCCTGCCATCTACAGGCACTGTGTCAAGTGCCGAGACACAAAGATAATCAGCCCTGGAAGTCTCTTCTGCCCTGGAGAGAGACTTGCATATTTCAAAAGAGAAGGTCGTGCTTTGAAATCTCAGAATTGAAGATAGAGGAAGAGAGAAGACAGACTGAATGCCCAAAGAGGCAAGAAGGACTTGGAGCCAAAATGGAGTCTAGACATGATACAGAAGCCACTAGAATCTGAAAACAAAGTGGTGAAGCCTAAGGATGAGAGAGTATGATCAGAGCAATGGGTGAAAAAGAGGCTCTTTTCCACAAGGCAGGTATCCATACCCAAAGCAAAGTAGAGAACTGAAGCCCAGATTTCCTAAGCAATGGGTCCAACTCTCAAGAGTGATAAAATGATCACCTTCAGTCATGTAAATGGACCTTACCCTTTTCTGAAACGGAAGGTCTTGACCTCCTAAGCTCCTGTAAGGCCTTTCTAAGCATCAGCTTTTCTTATTTGCAAATCAGGAATAATAATATCTACATTATATACCTGCTGTGAGGATTTAGTATACTGTATATAAAATGGCTTACACAGTGTCAGGAGCATAATAGTTGCTCAATAGATGAGCAACTATTTTGTTTTGGTTGCTGTTATCACCTGTAAATAAAACTAAAGGTCAGAATGGTGGATCTCATGGATTGGCCCTTCCAATCCTCATTTCACCCCCATTTTGGAATAACTTCTTGTTCCTGTGAAACTAGGGACTACATTTCCCAGACTCCTTTGCTCTTAGGGTCTGGATGCCAAACATGTTTCACCAGTTAGAGACAATCACTTGAGATTTGGAAGATGGAAGGAAGAGGAGGCCATCTTCCAGTTGTTCTTTCTTTTGCAAATTCACTACATTAAGAGAGGCCTGGTTGGGGGCGGGGGTGTTGGTTTGCAATGGTGGAAGTAGATGCTTGCCCACCAGATCCCAGCTGCAATGGGATCTTGTCACTAACAAGGAGTGGCTTCTGATTTCCACTCCTCCAGCCCTGCCAGTGTCTTTGTAAGCATCTAAATCCCATATTTTTTTTAAATCCCATATTAAATCTCATCTGTTTAAAATACCTAGAGTGATGATTCCTGTTTCTAGAATTGAATCCCAACTGACTTAGAAGTGGATATTTCATCTAAAGAAATCTCATATGTAAACTCCCATGAAAGACTTTATTTTGTACTGCTTCGAAATGGCTTAGATTTAAATCATGAGTTAATTTCCATGTTAAAACCAATTCAATGCTCTTCTTGATGCCATTCTCTTTGAGAACTGTTAATACAATTGAAGTGTTCTGGGATCTTGAAAAATTAACTCCAAGGATCACATTGAAAGACAGAGTATATTTTTGTGATGATTATAACCCATCCATTGTCTCTTTTTACTTTACTTGGTTGAGAGGAAAGTGGCCCCTGAAAGAAATTTACCTCCTAATATCCATTCTTCCTTCCTTTCTTAATATTAAGAACCCCAATTTTTATCTGGGGACACTACTACCCAGCTAAAATTTATTCCCACTTTCTCTTAAAGCCAGGCATGACTAAGTTTTGGCCAATTAGATATAAGAAAAAGTGTTTTGTGTAACTTCTAAAAAGTGTCTTTGGAAGGAAGGTATAGACCCTCCTTTGCCACTCCCTCCTTCCTGTTGGCTTGGGTATGAATGTGATGACAGGAGCACGGACAGCCACCTTGGGTCATGAGGTAGTATAGTAATCATGGCAGAGTAGAGGACAATGAACCGGTTGCCTACAGAGCTACCATATAGGACTGGATTGTTTCCCTCCAGATTTCTTTTATATCAAAAAAAACCAATCTCAATCCTTAAAAAAAAATCAGTTATTTTGTTTCTGTTTTGCTATTATATGTAGCCAAGCCTATGCCTAATTAATATAAGAGGAACAGCCAAACTTCTCTTCATATCAACCATGGACTGTTTCTCAGATTTTAAAAACAAGTGCATTCTCACAAGCTGCCTCATTACTGAAATACAGTAGGACATGCTACCAAAAATATTGATCTGGGTTTAGAATTAAAGACATAAAATGATTTCATGGAGGCCATTTCAATGTACACAGCAGCGAAGTTTGCAAGCCAGATGAATTACTCTGATTTATTCATATTGCTTTCAACATCAAACCAAGGCACCAATTTTAGGTTTAGTAAAAAGCAAGTCCTCGAGCCTAGCTGATGGTCCATTAAGGCTAGAGTTATTGATCAAAATGACTGAGTTTTGGGTTAAACTGGCTCTCTGTTGTTCATCATGTGACCACACTATAGCTGACAGCACATCCAACGGTACAATTTACTCTGCAGCTCTCTATTCCAGAGCCCATAGATCAAAGGGTTAAGACACTGGGCAAATGCAAAGACTCCAAAAAGCACCATATTTAAAGCAAAGAAAAACACCCCACACATCTTTCCCAAACCTATGAATACCAGGGTTGGTATTACATGTAAACCTATCTGCACTAAATGAATAAGGACTGTTTTCCTTGCTTTGATATTTGATCTATTAAAATGGCCAGCTCGTTTCCCCTCTTGGTAGATCAGAGAGTAACTTATAAGAATGATGGACAGAAGAAGGAAAAGGAAAACCATGCCAATGGCTCTGGCAGCAGAGCCATTCAAGATCACAGGGCAAAGGGGTTCAGATTTTAAGACAGCCACCTGAGTGGAGGTAGTGCCCTCTATGAGGAATAAGCAAACATTCTTGAATATAATAATTATCCAAGACCCAGCCAGAATCCTATACTTAACTGAATCTACAAAGGACAGAGATTTCAAAGGCCAGCAAATGGCCAGGTAAGTGTTGACAGCCATCAAAGCCAGTGTGAAGAGGATCCCTTCTCCAACACTTAGCTGGACCCCAAATACCACCCAGCACATCAGCACAGGGCTGTTGGCCAGCAGAGCCCGCATCCCTTGGAAAACCACCCCCAGGCCACAGTAGGAGGAGATGCACAGCAGATGATGGCACAGGAGGATGTATCGGACCTCTTTCTTCAGCTTTGAATTCTGGGACACTATCGTGATGATGATGACAGTGACAAATGTGGTAAAGAAGAAGGCAACCACATACACAGAGGCCTTCACTGTTGCTTCCAGCCTCAGCCAATCTGATATGTTGCAGTGCTCAGATGACAAGTTCATGATCTTTCAGGGCAACTTGGCTCCTGCAGGATTAAAGAACAAGAAACAGTGATCTTAAAGCTTCTGGTGTGGTTTTCCAGCTCTGTGGTCTTATATAAATTTCAAGAAACAAACTGCACATTTTTCTCTATAGAGGAGGACTTTAGATAGCATTGATGTGGATCAAGGAAATGGGAGAAATCATCTGGGGCCTTCACTTTATTTCAAGACAGGGGCACATACTCAAACGATCCAAAAGGAAGGTTTGAAACATGTACTCTCAGAACTCAACAAATTACTCAAAATTGGGCCAATTATTCAATTATTCTTTGTGCATCCTCTTCCATCTTTGATTGTGAGGACTTTTTCAATTTGGAGCCACAAAACACAACATTATAAAACTCTGTTGATGAACTACCAAGCACTTGCTAACACTTAGCAAGTACAAAGGTCTGGGGAAGACGTTAGGGCAAGAGCTATAAGGACTATGGAGAAGCCATTGATGCAGAGGCCTGAATTCATTTGGGTCCATAAGACATGACAGGGATATTAACAAAATGACAGCAATCACGGGTGACACCCACTACTTTCTAGGGATCAAAACTGCTTTTAAAGCATATTCGTCACCAACCCTGGGGTGTGTTTTGTTTTCCACCACGTGGTTTTATTGTGCACTTTTCACAAATAGGGAAACAGATTTAAAGAGGCTAAGTAACCTGCTCAGGGCCATATGGTTACTGTGCAGAGGGACTAGGATGTGGTTTCAGAGTACAACTCCAGAGCCTACTCTCTCAACCACTGCAAAGATATTCATGTCAAATGCAAGGTCAAATGAATGCAGGCTCTGAGTTCTTCTTTGGCCAATGTCATTGGCCCCCAATGTCAACTGGACCTCATTTGTAGAAATCCTGTTTCTGTTGTTAAGCTGGAAGACTGCATGTCCAGGAAGATGTTGGGATCGTAGGATTGCTGAGAGGCTTGTGGCCACTAAAATGGTAAGACAGTATAATAGCCTTATAAAATCTTCTCGAGGGCACCTGGGTGTCTGCCTGCAGCCCAGGTCATGATCCTGGAGTGCCAGGATCGAGCCCCACATCAGGCTCCCTGCTCGGCAGAGAGTCTGCTTTTCCTTCCTCTGCTCATTCTCTCTATTAAATAAATAAATAAAATCTTAAATAAATAAATAAAATCTTCTCAAGCATGCATAGGAGTGAATAGCACATCGTGCCTTAGTCTGGGGATCCCCCAAATTTCAGGACCTCTGTCTCTAAAAGTCTACTGTAAAGTTGCCAACCTTTACCTCCCCACTGTGGCTCTACTTACTTCCTCACCACGTGTCGTATCACCTCCCTCATCAGAGTTTATTGGAGCCAGGGTAGACATCTGACTCACGGAGAATAATTTGGACACTGCTGAATCCACCAGTCTGCCTCTTAAAAATCTAACTGAAGAATTCTCACAGAGAATGGAGTCTGAGTGTGATGTCATGTGATTGGCCTGCCAGTCATGTTGGAGCACGGGTGAGTAGAAGAAAGTGACCGAGAGAGGTAAGGGAAAAGCAGAGGGAAACACAAGGTCCCTGCGAGGCTCCAAAAGCCCTTGCAAGACAGAGAGAGAACAGCCTGGGCTTCTGAATTTCTGATTCCACTGAGATGCTCTACATTTTCTGTCCTTGGGTTCTAAAAATATAACACACTCATCTATTATTTGAGGTAGCCTAAAGGGGTTTATGTTCTTAGATGTAGGACCCTAGCATTGAAAATATATGAAGAGGACCCTGAAGAGGCACAGTATTTTGATTTCCTAAAGGGCATGTCACCATTGCCGAGAATCTGAGATACCACAGCTCCTTTATGAAATCCCTTGCCAAAGGCATCCATCCTCCCCCAGCATAATGTGTTCTCACCCAGGGGAGAATTTCCACTGTTCAGATAGATTTTTGTGCCATTGTCATGTGGTCAAACTCGAGGCATTTATTTCTCTACTCTTCAGCCCCCAGAAGAATAGAAATGGGAATGGTCATTATCATCGTCAAACTCATCATTATGCTTTCTTTTAGCTGCAGATTTTTCGGTTGAAATCTTACACCAGAACCCTTCACTAATCAACAGAAAAACGCATATCTGCCCACATTAAATGCCTTCTCATTGCTCACCCCCAGAACACACTCCTCCAACTGTCCTCACAGCACCATCATAGACATGGAGGGCCCCAGGGAAGATGGCATGCAGACTCTGGTAAGTTAGAACCCTGCCCTGCCTGGGGAAGTCACAAGAACTGGGCTTCAAGCCTAGGTCTGCCACCAGCGATGAATGTGATTGTGGATACCACTTCACTTCTCTGGTCCTTGGTTCCTAACATCACAGCCATACAGGATTGCAAGCTCTGCATCTTTCCTCTCTATCTACTTCATCTTCAAGAGCCAGCCCTTAACTTGGGCCAGGAGCATCTGGGCTTTTTCCCTGAGACAAGATTGGTCCTGCCCTTGATCCAGAAGATCCTCATCTTATTCCCCCTGGCTGAGCCTCAAATAGAACTGCCAGCAATCTAGGACAGGCCCTGCCTTGTCCTGCCAGGCCCCTTCCCAGGACCTAAAACCCAGCCTCTGAGTCCCAGAATTAGGGGGTTACTGTTGACAGGCGCTACAATGGTGATAGCCTCCCTGTCAGCCTGGGACTCCCAACAATGCCCACTCTTGAGCTCACTGTTGCTGGGTCTGACTTAGCTCATGGGCTATGCTCCCCTATTGTTCAGTCTTGCTCCCCATCCCCCATTCTGCCTGGAATCCCAGCCATGTCTATAGCTTCCCTGCTGGATTCCTCATTTCTGCTCTGCAGGACTTCCCTGCACCTGAATGCCCCCCACCTGCACAGCCCCTACACACCTATCTGGTTCATCTGACCAGCATGTTCCCAACAGCAAGGACTGGGGCTTGACCTCACTATGTTCTAAGACTTGAAATGCTACACAGAGCATGAGTGACTCTCATTGTGCTTCCTTTGAAAAAAAATATATTACGACCTTCTTTTCTCTCCCCGAATTACTGTAGCTGCAGCTATAGTAAACCCTTCTCCCTCCAGATCTGATGTGCTTTCAGGGAACTATATTGTTGAGACCAGGCAAGAACTAGTTTCTGGGGCTTTCTAATATGTCTAACACACTGATCGATGCGGCACATTATTGCATCATTCTACTCTACTCTACCACTCTTCATTGCGCATTGAAACATACAATGCATATCCAAGAGGTGAGGTTACCAGGTGGTAAGACACAGGCACTAACACACCTAAGCCTCTTGCCCAGTGGAAGAAGCAGAATGCGATATAATTAGGTAAGAATCACCAGAAACATCATGTGTTGTTTTACTTATCTGCCAAATGAATAAGAAAGTTGGGTGTCTCTGGCGGGGCGAGGTGGGAGGGGGTGCTCAGAATAGAAGGGGTCACAGAGTCACAGAGTCAGTGAGAGAAAGCTTCTTGGAAAAGGTGAGACTCAAATCCAGCCTTTCGAGGTTGAAAACTAGAGCAAAGCAGGGTCAAGGGTGAGGTGGGTAGAGATGAGGAGAGGTACAGATTGCAGGCAACAGAGAATGGCAAGAGCCAAGGTGGGGGCAAAACCCAGGAGCTTCAGAGGATAATGAGCAGATCCAGTCTGGTGGCCTGAAGGCTTATTCAGAGGACTAAGAACACACAAAGTCCAGATTTCAAGGGCCTTGAATTCTATTCCAAGGGTTAAATAAAATTCACTTTGCAGGCAAAAAGGAGCCTTGCATGATTAAAATTAGGAGCAGCACATGCCACAGGTTAAGAGGCAAGATGACATGCCCACTCCTGCCTGCCCAGTGGTGTTTGATAGGAGTTTTGCAGAGCAAGCAGCCTGGCAAAGGAGAAATGTACACAGTGAACCCACTACTACCGCAGCAAGTGGCTTAAAATTATCTCTCTAGGAGCACCTGGGTGGCTCAGATGGTTAAGTGTCTGCCTTGAGCTCAGGTCATGACCTCAGAGTCCTGTGATGGGGCCCCACATCAGGCTCCCTGCTCAGTGGGGGAGGAGTCTGCTTCTCCCTCTCCTTCTGTGCTCTCTCTCTCTCTCTCTCAAATAAATAAATAAAATCTTTAAGAAAAAAAAAAGAATCCTTTTAGTAGACATAATATCTCCAAGAGGGTTGCAAATCTGCAAAATCAATGAGGGCAAGTTTTATTGCCTTTAATTTATTTATGAGAACTCAGAAGATGAGTAATTTATTCAGGCTCATGCAGCCAAACAGAATCTCCCAATCTTCAAATTCATATTCCTTCTCAGAGGTATATTTGCATATCAAGAGCTCATAGCAACAAAAGCCATATAATAAGTCCTCTTCTATACATATCACCTCCCCTCATTGATAATTCCTAGAGCCTTTTTCTTTGGAAATTCTAAAATGGAAATACCTATTTGCCTCCAGCCCAAAATGTTCCCTTGACTTCGGCTCCAAAATAAAACCCTGGAGCACATTTGTTCCACAACTGCCCTGATGAAATCAGAACCAGCCTCCAGCACTCCCTACAAAAATCCCGCTGGAAGCAGATGTGTGGGAAGGGCGGGATGGGTACATATCAAAATCAGTGAAGCAACTCCTTTCATCCTTCCTAAGAGCCCTGCTTAGAACAAACCCCTGAGGTGCAACATGCTACCCACCCTTGATGGGAAACGGAATATACAAACAGATATGGCCAACCCATCCACGCAAATTAAACTCTGATCCAAAACCTGTAGCAACCTGCCAGGAAACCAAGCCCTCATCCACAGTAACTAGCTCAGGAAGGCAGCCTGCTGTCTCTTGTAAACCGTCCAGGCCAAACAACAACCTCCTTAACAATGGGCCCCAAACAGGACTTGATTAATAATTAGCAGCTTCCCTAATTTATGTCCCTGCTTTCAACTTAGGGCCAACCAGAGAGCGCCAAATATGTCTCCTATATTATAGTCACATAGACACCCCACTTTTGGTTAGCCTGTCTCCAGCTTCCCCCAGCTCCAGGCTCCCATCAGGGCACACATGA